TGCTGAAATTTGGGCATGTTGGGCCACATTGTCTGCTGCCTGAGTGAGGTCAGGTCTCTCTGTGTGCTGCGCTCAGCTGCTGCTCTAATGGCACAGCGTACCTTGAGGGAGTTGTGGTCTTGCTTTTAACATCCACCTGTTCCCTAAACGTGAAACCCCCTTCTCAAAAGTAAACCACACCAGTCCAAATGCATGTTAATTGCTGTTCTTACACTGCAGTTTGCCTCACTACTTTAATACCTAGTGAATGCTTTTGGAGTGTCTGTCAGTTTGAGAGATAAGAGGATCTGAGTAGGAGTGGATTTGAAAAGATGTTAAGCTAAGTCATTTTAAATTTTCTTAAAAAAAAAAAAAAACAAACCACAAAAACCCCCAAACCCTCCAAAATTTCTCTTCCAGTCATATGTCACTATGTAATTCTAGATAGCTGGAAGGGCTTTGATGTAGGCAAGTATTAGTAAACCTGTTTCAGAGGGTGAGGGGAGGGAAGGGACCAAAGCAAGATCACAACAAGAGGAAGGGCAGATCCTTAAACATGACCTGACTTGTGGTTCTACCTCAGCTGCACTACTGCTGTACATGAGATTACATTTCAGTTTCACAACCAAAAAAGTCTCAGGAGTTCTGAAGGTTCTGGTACTTGGCATTGGACCAAAAATCCTCCAGGTTAGGACAGAAAGAGAACAAATTTTGGAGTATGGACTCCCTCAAGGGAGTCTGTATTATAACTGACTGCCCTCAACATGGCTTTGCCTCATCCTCTGCTCCTTCCCACAGCTGAATGACCAGCATGGTGTTTACCTACTTGGATGCAGTCCACTTCCTCATATGTTCAAGCTCTCATCAAATGTAAAAGGTCAGAAAGGAATGTCAGGAAACATATTTAATAGAAAATGAATCTTACCCTGTGTTTAAGTAACAAAATAACCTTCCTAGTGCCTCTATCAGCTCTTCAAACTTGCTGCTAGCACACAAGCATTTGCTGAGTGTTATGAACATTAAGGCTTGTTACCAGCAGCCCTTTCAGCTGAAGTATCATATTATTCACCTACTAACATTTCTGCAGTGTGGCTGCTTACTCTCAGACGTAGACCATACGTGCCAGCGGGTACTGGGGAGGGGTAAGGGCAGGGCTGAAAAAACCTGCTGGCAAGAGGTGAAGTTTTGTTTTGGCATGTGGTGTCATCCCGCTTCATGAGCGTTAGAAGGGTTCTTGGGGAAAAAAGCTGACCTACAGGTATGTATGTGGGCAAAACTTACTTACACAACTGAATGCTAAATTGCTGACCCCTCAGACCTACTCTAGTCGTATTGTAACCATTTAACTTCAGTGGATCAAATACAAATCTTTTGCTTTTAATCTGTCGCAAAAGAGATGCAACTCAGACATTATAGTTTAAGCATGCAACATGTCATAGGTAACAAAATTGATTAGATAGCAGTGTATATTAAATAAATCTTTGTGATTAAGTAAAAAATAAATCACAAAAACAATTGCTGAGAAACATGTCTGCAGGCTCAGCTCTACATCTGTTTGTTGTGTTGGTTTTTTTCAGCAGCAGCCAAATTCACAATTGATAGATATTGCACCAGAAAGACATGTGCAGTGAGAAGGAATATAATCACATTAATGTTTATGATAAAAAAACCAGATATGACTTCCATGTGTTACATAAAGTGCCTTTAGAGTTGGTGCAGTTAGAAACAAACAAAACCCCCGTTGTTATTTAGATATCATTAGCAAACGCATACAAATAGGAGACAAAACAGACCTGTTTTCCATAGCGCCAAATCACATAGTGCCAGGTTTCATTCAAAGTGCCTCCGTTGCAAACGGTAAAGAGGAAAGGATAATAAAAGAATCACTATACAAAGATAATGACAGGGTTAAGCATATTTTCCTAAAATGATTAATGCCAACCCTACCCCAAAATGCTTTATAGTACATGTAAATATTACCAATAATGAGGCAATTTCTTTACTGAACATGAGATTTGGCATGCTATGTTATGATTCTCCCTTGACTTGTAACTATTCTAATATTTATACAAAAATGCAACATATCCAGTCCATACTTCTGGATACAGAAAAATATTTATGTGCTCAATGAAAGGAGTTGCTTTCAATATATAGCCTGTGTAGAGAAAATTTCCAACGTAGCTTGCTTCTACTTTCCTAATGGTTTGGGAACACAAGGCTCAAAATGTGCTTTGAAAAAATGACACTGGCATCAAGTCTGGTATGAAATTAAGAAAAATGCTCTTTTTTTCCAAGTGTATGATATTTAATTGTAATGAAATAAAATCTGAAAATGTCTAAATCAATTAAAAAGTAAACATGAGTTGTAATACTATACCTGTAAAATGATTAATTCCATTCATTGTCATTAGAAATTATGTAAAATATTTATTAAGGGCTTTGCCTACAGAGGCACAACATAAATAGAGTAAGTCCTTTCTGAAATGTGATCAGAGTTCATGTTAAGCAGTTGGTAATCTGCTGTGGACATGTCAGAAAAGCCACCTGCAGATTACAGTCCGGCCTTCTGGAGTCAGGCAACGGCACCGTCGAAGGGTTTGCTCCATGAACCAACGCTGTGCAACTGTTCTGCCATAGTCCCTCGGTCAGGCAAACGCAAAAGTGCAAGCAGAACTTGCTTGAAGAGGGGAGAAAAGGCGACGTTTTAATCCACTCCCTCAAATCCTTGAGCGTTTTCAACTGCCATAAGAAGCTTCTCTCGCAAATCTTCAAAAGATTCATAAAGAGGTAAGTCTAGACGATTAAAGCTGAAATTTAGAAAGAAAAGACTAATTTAATAATCCATGGGAAAATACACATCATACTAAAGAAATAGAAGAGGTTAAATAATTTGGAGGCCTTAACAGAGGAGATATCTCATCATCTGAACGGGGGCAATCTTCCATGTCCTTTGCAACCCAATCTCACGCTCGAGTTCCCCACAGGTAGCGCCTTGCAGCCAGCCCTGCCTAGAGCAAAGTGAGTTTTCAGAAGTAACCGTGCGCCTCCTTTCTTTTCAGAGCTGAAAGTGGAAATTTGTTAAAAACCACTGAGGAAAGGAAAAAATGCACCAGACCCCTCCCCCCCATATTTAGTTGCTGGAAACCATTTCATTTTGTCAAAGGGGTGGTTTCCTAGGACTTGGCAAAGATGTTCTGAATTCACAGGACAGGCCCTCTCCCCCTCTAGGGGAAAAATAATACTGATAATAATATCCAAAAGAAGGTCTTGAAAAGGTCCTGTAAAATCTAACAGATAATTTAAACATAAAGAGGATGTGGTGATTTTGGAATGTGTTTAGGGTTTTTTGTTTTTTAAATAAAAAGTCATTTGATAGAATTATTATGTTTATGGAAAGATCCCCATTCTGTACTGATGTTCTAAAAATTAGTTTTCCTATATAGTGTAACTTAAGTTTACCTTAAAAAAGCCATATTCTTGATATGCAACAGAGCAAGACAAAGATTTGTATTGAATGCTTTTAACATTTGCAAATTGTAGGTATTAAACTAAGTCAGCTTATGACCTCACACTTTTAGTGACCTGTCCAACAATTTATGGCCTGGGTATAGCATGGCTTTCTGTGGCTATGTTTTGTTATGTCAGACTTTCTACAGCTCATTTTCCTCATCCTAGTAAGTGGGCATATATAAAATCATGGAGAATGAGAAAGGGAAAATGCTGGTAAGAGTAAAAGCTGCCTGCAGCGTGGTACGGGTTTGTGAAGTGATAGCTGGGGTAGAATCTCAGCACCAAGAAGGAAAAAAGCATCAAGCCCTATTTGTACAAATCTTTGTGCTTTTCTTTCAATGTTGTAGTTTTCCAGGAGGAAGAGGTGATAACTCTCTGACACATACAAGATGACAGTGAATAGCATCAGCCTTACAAGGTGAGCTGCTACTTTTCCTTCCATTGTGCCCTGTGTAACTCCTGTTGCCCTTCTAACCGTCTCTCTTGGACAGCTTATTGCCCAGCCTCCCGTTAGCAAAGCCTTTGGGACTGGCAGAATGGAAGAGAACAGAGCCTCTCTTTTAACATTGATAGAGAAATAACCAAAGCACACAGTGTAATAATTCCTCTTGCTGTGGCGAGTACCTTACATGAATGGATTCTTATGTATTTGATATGGGGAAAAGTCTTCTACTAGAAGGATTCAAATTACTCCAACAGTGTCAGAATATCAGTTTAATTGACCAGTGCTTGAAGCAATTTGCAGGCTGCTATACAGCTTCAACTACAATAGTTAACATTTGGTATATATGGGTAGCAAGTTCATCAAATGTAAAAGTGGGGAAAAGCTCTCTCTTCTCTCTAACGCACATTCTAATATGCAAGCAGTTACTAGAAGTCCTGAGGTGAAAGGGTTACATGGAGTACAATAAAATAGACTTTTTCATGCTATCAGAAGGCCCGTGATGGAAAGAATGTATTCTGGATTCATTTACCTGCCCTGATTGCACAACGCCTACACCTACTGACTCTACTACCACGTTTCACATGCCCAGGGGAAGGCAAAAGACATGTTGTGTAGAACCTCTGAGGAGCAACGGCGTGGAGTGAGCCCTGCTCCCTCCTGGAGTTCTGCAGCTGTGTGTCCCAGATAAACACTAGCTGTTCTTTGCCTTTGAAATGCCTACCTACACACACACACATGTGCAGAGGTTTCAGAGTATCCCATTTTATAAGCAGCTGTATGATCCAGAGCTAAAGTATGTTAGAGATAAGCATGGTCATCAGTTCCCCCCTTTCTTGGGAGTGTGACAATACAGAAAAGCTACATAATTTTAGGCTTCTGTGACTTACCATGTGTGAGCTCTGGGCAGTTTATCTGGACTTCCCCATTGCTCTATTGTAAACAGCTGAGGACCATTTGAACCTGGTTGAGAGTGAAAATCATATGAAATATAAATTGCTGGACACTGTAATAAATAATATATACACTAGAATAATATAAATATTATTTTTAACATTAAATATTTGCATAACTGGTAGGCTACAAAATACCTGGTACAAACTCTCATAATTAAAACTATATTAAAGCAAAGAGGAACATGGTTATTTATTTCCAAGCCTGGTTAGCTTGTTAAGTTTATCTAACTACCTTTGCATAGATTATGTGTAATGCAAAAGAAGTCAGCTCAGACATTAAACATTTAAAAATTAAAGTGCTTGGTTAAACATGCATTCTCCTTCTTCATGTGACATGAATATTATTCCTGTTGATAGCTGAATTGTTTTCTGTGGGAGCTAGGAGAGCATCTACGTAATAGCCGTGGTGTACAGACCTTTACTCCTCCTCAGTGTGCCCCCCAGTTCTCCAGAAGGAGAATTCTTACGTGGGGGCCAAAGGTTGGCTATGACTAAATGTCAGCAGTGTTTTCTCTGCGCAGCCATTCTAGCGGGCAGGTGAAAGGAAGCTCACCGTAAAGTTCAGCAAATCCATTCATAGGCACGCGTGACGTCCCAGTAACAAACTGCAGTAATCGAATCCGCTTTTCAGCATCCATCAGTAAAACGGCCTGTTGACAAACATACACAGTCGCAGTCTTTTCACTTTCACAGCGGTAGATGTTATTATTAAAAACCAGAACAAAACCTGAGGAAGCGATCTATTTGTATTAGAGGGTAACAGCCGTGTGACTGAGAGCTGTGATACAGGGCACGTACCAGGTTTCTCTGATTAAATAGCGCGCACTGCAATGTACGTGTGTACGCCTGAGAAGGAGCACAGAGAACCAGAGGTGACTGAAAAGCCTTGAAGGGCAGACAGACCGCAAAGGTTCACAGAAAATCAGAGCAGCGCTGCAGGACCTTGGACTCAAGCCTTTTGGACTGCTACAAGTACACAGTACCACCCATGGTGAGGAAAATGATATAAGAAACCCAGAAACAAAGTTGAAGTGCATACACAAAGCTCTAAGATAAGATTCCTGTACTTTTAAGAAAAACAGACACTCCTTTGAAAAATCTACAGCTATTATGGGGAAAAAGCATTTTAGTCATTTTTCTGGGGACGTACACTTTTCAGAAGAGTATTTTGCTTCACAAATACTGCAAGACGCTTTAGATGAAACCAGTATCATGGGTCTATTTCCAGTACAGTCTGTAAGGAGTAAGTACCAGCACTGTCATTGCCAACATACACAGACATATTCTTCAGCAGTTCTCATCAAGCAAAAAGATTTCGTAACGGACTCTGAAACCAACACAGTAACTGTCACTTTTAGTAACAGAGAAGCCAGATGTGGTAAAGCAGTATTACCTTCCAGAACCACTGGATCACGGGATGATTTGGGCAGTAACCGTTTTTGTAGATGGTGTGTTGTCTCCAGTCATTAACATCAACATCGCCGAGGCCACACATCAGTAACTACATATGGAAGTAAATTGTTATGGCATTACTTGACGATGGTATTGTGTTATCCTGTACCCTCTGTCAGAAAGACACGGTTACACTTTCCCTCTGTGGCCTGACCTTTTAAACAGCTAAGCAGTGTGAATATAAATGCAAACACCCAGAAGAGGATTCTCAAGGATTCTCTCATTTTACTGGAGAAACACTGTACGCTCTGATGTACGGATGCTTTGTGTGACAGCATCTTTTAAGGTATTGTGCTCAAAATGTGACTGGTATAGGCATAAGAGCATGAACTCTGTGAGCTACTTATGTGCTTTTGTATGCACATACTCAACCACTGCCCTGAATAATTACAACTTTGTGCTTTTATGCGATCGATAGATTTATTAATTGGAGAGAACACTCTCATTTCCCATTATAAGCAAATTATCTTTGTCTGCAAATTCACTTACAAAGAGTTAAGTGATGAATGATGAGCCTAGAACATAACACGTCTTTTTGTGATGAGCATTACTGATCTGTTGTCTCTGGATGCCAATTAAACAAACTCACCTCTAGTTCATTTTCATCAAAAATTTTAATCAGATCAATAGGAAGAAGTTCTGTGAATCCCTAAAAGAAGGCAAAGCCAAGTTAAAACTCTCATACCACATAAACTTAAGTCTTTATCTATCAGGATCTTTGGCATCAGGAAACATAAGTAAAAGAGGACAAAGAAGGGTTTTGAAAATGAAACACACAGTTGCTGAAGTATGAGTCCTAATTTAAAAAATTAATCACTAAATTACTTCAAGCTTAAATAATTTAAACTTGAAAGACAATGACCTTATTCTTGTACGGGAAAGATTCCATATTCTTATACAAGGTAAAACTGGGAAATCATAAATGCAGCATTCCAGAACTTGTGCAGTGATGCAGAGCTCCCCCCTCCCTTAACGCAGACAGTGATGTATAAAAAGTCTGCATTAAAATAACATAATTTTTTTTGGGAAGAAAAAGCAGCTAAAGAACCTTACCTCCAAAAAAGCATTCATTTGTTTCTGAACTCTGTTTACAAACCTCCACTGGATGACCAGGCTACAGCAGACAACAAAAACACATAAGCACACTCATTAGAAGGCTGCAACTAAGCGTTGAGAGGTTTTAACAACCCAAACAGCTTCCACTTCTCATTCACACCTTCAGCCACCTCCCAACCGCACTCTGATGTTAAGGAAACAGCAGCGTGTGCTTAACTGTTCAAATTTATCTTGTGTGACTGATCAAATTGTTGAAAAAAAATCAGTGACTATGAACAAGTGATAGGATGACTACTTTCACTTTAGCATGCAACACAAACTCAACACATACACTTCCACATTTTATAGCTATGACTTTTCTACATCACCAAGAATTTTTTAATGTAACACACTCAGATGATAAGACATTAACCATTTTGTTCCTACGGAGGTTAACTCAAGGATGGACATGGCAAAAAGGCTTGCCTGTGGATCGAAACAGCCTACAGATTCCACGCTATGCTTCCTTTCTTTCCAAAGGAGGCTGTAATCCAGACTCCGGATGATGTATTCACTGGTAGTATTAGGTACCTAAATGACTAGACATTTTATTCTTCCAGAGCTCTGAGTGATTAGCAATTTCCAATGAAGTCTACAAAATCTGAGGATAGATGTAATTACATACAACAGCCTGCCTATAAATAAATAAATAGATGAATAAACCGTGCCATATCAAAGGAAAAAGCTTGTATTCCAGTGCTAACCACCTACAGCATAAATACCTTACAGGTTCAAGAACAATGCTTTAGAAATCCAATTCCCTTCCTACCAAAGCATATTTCATTCCTAATTTGCATGAATATCACAATTATAATGTTTTTCTCCCTTTTGAAGGGGCACTAATTAAAAATGCCAGCAAGTATAGCTGAATTTATTCTTTTACATTCTGGTAGGCAGAAAAACCGAGGAAGCTTAAAATTAAACAATTTAAGATCGGCCGATGTTTGATAGCAACACTGGTACTGACGTGACAGCTCTGGTCTGTGTAACTAGAGAGGAGGATAACAGGGCAGTGGCCACGCTGGAGAGCACTTCCTGGTTCAAGTTACTTGGGTGCTTTGAGCCACACTGTGCCGAAGCACGTTTCCTACGTGGGGATTTCAGGAAAACCGAGCAGTTAATTTAATTTATTCTACTTTTTTTCTTATATTGGCCAATGTAACGTAAAATGAATTTTTCAAGAAGGCAGCACTGGATACTGTTCATTTGATGGTGTCTAGAAAATTCCTAGTGTGGTTTTCTCATAATGCTTAAAGAAAGAACATTGATTTTTAGTTAGCAGCTATTTAGTCAGTTTATCTATTTTCCTTTGTTTCTGCAATAAATATCACATAACAAAATAATGCAAATAAACCACCAGATTTCCTATTAGATGATGATTCTTCATTATTTACATGATATCCCATAACCACTACATATGCATGAGAATGCATCACTTGGATGTTATGTTAAGACACAGAGGCAAGAATAAAATTACATTTGTGACTACACCTGCAGTCTGGTGGGGTTTGGGTGGTGAGGGGTTTTTTTGTGGTTTTTATTTTTAAGTGTAACAACTAGAATAGCTGTATCATAATTAAGTTGCATTAATCATTTCCAGATGAGGAGCACACAATTGACTCTATAAAGTTATAAAAATACTGTGACTAGCCATGAAAGAATTATCTAGATGTAAACCTAACTCAGTTCTGAATTTTGTCCCACACATTTTCAAAGAGCTTTTCTTTTCTGCACTGTATTGAGATGATAGAAATAAAAAAAGTTTATGATATCCAAGATTTTGCACTTGAAAAAAACCCCAAACCCCTAAACAATTAAAGAGCTGACAGTGCAAACAGGTTACAGACAAAGTAACAAAAAAAGTATCATAAAAGCAGAAGTTTCTTATTGTTCCACAACACTGTGAAGGAGATTAACAAACAAGTACAAAGTTCTCCTCTTAGAGGAACACTTAAACATTTACAGCGTTCCTTGAATGCAGACACAAACTTGGTAAACTACACAGACATCCTATTTTCAGTCTTTTTTCTAGATCCAATTTAGTGCCTAGATTCTTGATTTGTATTCTGTAACCTGGCAGTTCATGAGGAAAAACTAAACCCTAGGGTGGAAGGCATCACCACTCTGTTAGATCTACAAGCAGAGCTAGTTACCCCAGGCACTTGGGCAACAGACAGCAGCAGGCGTGGAACTCGGCAAAACTGGTACGTCTACTTTAACAGGAGAATATTGCACCCAAGAGGTGCCATTTCTTTTCGTCCCATAATTTAGGTGCTGACGTCTGTCATTTAGAGCAATCCCATCCCTTCTTGATGTTCCTCGTGCCTACCCATCAAGAAAATAATTTCCTACTACGTCACAGGCTCCCCCGAGTAGTGTAATTCATAGAACAGTAAAGGTTACGATTCAAACTTCCTGAGGATTAGGGTATAAGCAAGCAATGTTAACAATAAGATTTTCTTTTAAGAGGATCTAATGATCTGGCGTAGTACAAACTACAGTAATTGCAGTAGGATAAATTCTAAGACAAGTACAACTGTGCTTTCTTATGCTCAGGATAAATCCCGTAAATGTGTACGTACTCAATGTATTCCCTTTTGTTTTCATTTGTTACCATGATTTCTGACCCATTTGGCTTCAGGTCGACTTGATATGTCTGTATTTCAAAAGAAAAAAACCAGAACAAAACACAACATGACATTATTTCAGGACACATTTCTCACAAAATCCACTCTCATTGAGCAGCATTTTACAAGTAGCATCAGAAAATTGTTATGCCATAATACCTAGTGAGACATCAAAACATTCCACATTTAAAGATGGCATCATTGGGAACAAATTATTCTACGATCATTTATAAGAATGGACTCTTGATGATATTCATTAGCAAGTGAGCAAACCATTCAAAAGCAAACATTTAGTCCTGAACAGCAGGTTTGTTTGGGTAAAGAAAATATACATTCCATTTTAATAAGGGTAGACAAATGCCTTCTAATTTTTCAAAATGCTTGAAAAACAATGATTACTTAAAATCCACAGAGCAACTGTTTCATAAAAAGGCTGAAGAAGTGAAGTTAAAAAAACAGATTACAGAAATGGTTAAGCACAAATTTGCTAAGGGTGGTGTCACCATGGAGGGTAAGACTGAAAACACCAAATTCATTACAGTTCACAGGAAACTACAGCAAGTCCAAATAATGTATTTATTTCTGAAGAAAGTGATCTATTGGTAGGAATTCACAGAATCAATGCTGGCTAGGTAGCAGGAAAGCTAGAGGCTGGTGGCTTTTATCAGGTAGTGCTACCCAACCGGGCACTCCATAGCTGCGGCTATGAAGAGGTGTTTTTCTGACTGCAGATCCTGGTGTTTACATACAGCGTAGGCACGAGACTGGATTCAATTCTTGTACAGCACGTGTGCTTGGGAGCGCTTTTCATGTGGGCAGGGGAGAAGGAAAGTCAAGTATTTTGTTGCTTTTAAGTCGTCACTCTGTTCAGGTCAACTTGTTCCATCGCTTCAAACCCATGGTTCCAGTGGAAACAACCAAGACCTGACTCTGCACCCACATTCATCCAAGCCTATTTTTAAAGCTGTTACTAATCTTTAATAATTAAATCAGATGATGTGGTTGAGTAACAGTAAGACAGTAAATTCATTAGCTAATAAATGGAGCCGTGAAAGCAGCAGACTGGAAAGCTCTTTTCAGGACTGGATTAATACTGAATATCTCAACAAGGAGAAAAACAGTACAGCAGGTCTATGTGAATAAATATACCTATTACTTATAGGAAAAAAAAAAGAGATGACTATACTATTAAGGAAAAGTAATTAATGGGGAACCCACACACCTCTGAAACACTAGTTTATTTGTTCCATGAAGACCAGAGAAGACAGGCCAGAACTAATAAGGAAAAGGTTTGCTATACTGTCAAAGTTGAACAGGATGAAGTTATGAAGATCCAGACACGATGGCACAAACAAGTGGCTTCTTGGTGCTCATTTCCAGTACTTGAAGGGGCTACAGGAAAGCTGGAGGGGGACTGTTCACAAGGGCAGGGAGTGACAGGACAAGGGGAATCGTTTTGAACTGAAAGAGGGTAAATTTAGATTAGATATTGGAAGAAATTATTTACCTTGAGAGTGCTGAGGCCCTGGCACAGGGTGCCCAGAGAAGCTGTGGCTGCCCCTGGCTCCCTGGCAGTGGTCAAGGCCAGGTTGGATGGGGCTTTGGGCAACCTGGGCTAGTGGAGGGGGTCCCTGCCCATGGCAGGGGTGGGACTGGATGGGCTGTGAGGTCCCTTCCAACCCAAACTGGTCTGGGATTCTGTGATACATTGTTTTTCAGAAATAAGTAACAGTGTTCCAGAGCTATTAAGAACTTAGAAGAAATATGGACCTTTTCTTTCTCTGCTCTTTGAAGATAGCTCTCCATCCTTTACACGCTGAAGATACCTACTGCGTATTTCTGACTTGTGAGAACTACCAAAACAGTATTTTTGGTTATTAAGTAAGGAAAAGTAATAACAAGATAAGGGTTATTAGAAGTTTCTTGTTTTTCTCTAACCCCAGAAAAGATTTTGGTGATAAATGCAGTATAAATAAATATAGAAGCTTATAGCGATGCAAACATCTCCCACTTACATACACAATGTCCTTGTGGAAGCAGTATCGTCAGGCTCCCAAGGGCACTTTTATGAAGTTTCAGCAGATTAGCAGTAGATGATGCAAAACATGTGCCACTAGTGAGTCAGGGTCCCCTGACTTCTGGTAGTCCCCAGAGTGCTGGCAGTGGCCCATGGTGCATGCAGAAAAAGCCAACGTAGTCAATATTTGCTCTGACTTCTGAATTGCTGGAAAGCATCCTATACGCATTTGGACTGGTAAGGTCTTTCACTCTCTAGCTGAATTCCTCCTGCCTTTATTCCACACCCCCCTCAATGTTTCTCTAAACAGGACAACGCCTGCCTCATGTACTTAAAATTATATCACGAGAACTTCCCCAAAACATACTGTAAACACATGGTAAAATATTACGTTTGAGACAAAAGAAATCATAAATGCCATTAATTACTTCACACCCATGATACACAGAAACAACACAGGGAGAGATTTAATAAAGGGGTAGAGTAAGAAACGAACCAGTGAGCCTGAAGCTGCAGCTGTTTTTAACACCAATTTGTAAAGTTTCCCTGACAGCATAAGCACCCCCAGAAAGGCTGCCATCTTTTTTAATTAGCTGTCACTCCTTAGCAGTGATCTGCTTCTTGCCTATACAGTGCTGACCTGCTGAAGAATGGCATCTAAAGATTAATCTCTTTGGGAATCGGATGCATCTCTTGTAAATCAGACAAAAATCCATCTTGCTGGCAATGTCAGAATTAGCTATTTGAGGTATTAAAGAGTTAGGAGAAGAGCAGAAAGTATCTCCACGTAAGTTGATTTATGCTTTGAGTCAAAGAACAAACTTCTGCCAGCAGCAGTGAAAGCTGGCAGTGAAAGGCTAGGAATAATTTGAAGCTAAATCATTACAGAACAGAACACAATGAAAATTACCAACAAACAACCCAGTGTGTATTGCAGAAACTTTTCATCCTATGCCTTTAAAGTTCTCCCTGATTTCCCACGTAACAGATAAACTTATGTTGCTTCAGGAAAAAGTAATAAGCATTGTGACGTGGATCAGAATGTTCTTGACAGTACATTGTGTGCACGTTTTGAAATTTTGAAGTCGGCTTTTAAAAAAGTCACTGTGGTCCACAACACCAGTGGTACCTGGAGCCAACATATCTAGGTCTAAGAGTTAAACGAAGTGCAGAAACTAAAAAAGGGCATAAAAGCCTATAAGCAAATTAATTGAAGAGACACAGGCAGGTATTATTAAATCCCCAAATTGTACAAAATCAGTGTATGTTTTAGTCATTTTGTGTGTGCATGCACTACAAAATGGTTCAGGTCCATAGCCTGTAAATAAATAAAAAACCCCAGTCATGGTAGGCAAGTAAGTTCCAAGCTCATGTAAATAAACTCATGATTTATTTGCCTTTAAGTCCTCAGGTTAAATTTAACACATGTACTTACACACAAGACGTTTATCTGCACCCAAGTTATTCCCATCCAAAACCTGATACAGATCTCTGCAGTTTGTTTTAATAGGATCCTCTGTAAAGATCGACTGTAAATCCAAGACAAACTGAACCGTAAGCTGTTGTTACAGCTTCTGCTCATAAAATGAGTTACGACTTTGGCTGATGAATTATATTCCCACCTAGTCACTTCTCAATTGCGACAATTCTCAACACGCACCTAACATTTTTCATGTGTAACAAAGAAAGTTATCCACAGATGTGACCCTTTTTGAAATAGACATGCTGGCTTTTGCTCTATCATCTGCCTGCACTACAGCGAAGACACTACAAAGCACTTAACTCATTATAATTCCAGCACTTACTTTGTCCTTTGAGAACATCTTCAACCTATAAAACCCCAAACAGCCCCAGGCTGAGACTACAGTCTAAAACGGACCGTGCGACACCTTTGTTACTCCTCATTGCGAGTATTTTACTCAGGTTCAAGTACTGCTTTTCACAAAGATGTCATATTGCTCGCATCGTTTCCTCCTTTGGCATGCCCCGTCTTACGACAGTTCAGGGAGAGAGAGAGGTTAATACTCGTAGTTTACCTATACTGACCAGTAACATTCAGCAGTCCTGGTCAAGTTCACAACCATGAGAGTCTGCTCAGTATTTAATGACTTTTTGGCGATGACTAAGATGGAAATAGGGACTTTTGGGGTAACTTTTACATACCTGTCCGAAGTTCTCCTCATCTATGCAGAACATGAGATCCAACTCTGTAGGGTCATTTTCCAGGATCCACTTCAAAGAGTTGTAGTATTCACTGTCCTACAGCAGATTAAACAAAGTTTGAAAATGTGAACATTAAATGTATAGCTTAACTTTAAATTGAACAAATAAAACCATCTAAAACTAGAACTCCAAAGGGACTGGAAAGATGAGAAATTTATTTGCACAGCTGCTGTAAAGCAGAGTAAGATGCATTACTTTATTCATATATATTTTTCTTAGATACTGTATTTTTAGATTCATGTAACTTTTCTTAACTGACTTGTAATTGCATTATTATACAACACAATAAACTGACTCCACATACCCATTAGGTAAATATGTATATAGGGGTGTGAAATAATAGGTTAGAAAATGTCTTCTTGACAAAACTGTACATTCTTTTCAACACAATTTATATGCCACTTCATTACATTGATAATATACAATATCTGATTGTACTGTTATTATTAAAAGCCTTAGAGTTTGCTGTATAAAAGATCCCTCTAATTTCCTAAAAGGTTGTATCTTCATCATGTATTACATTAGTAATTAAAGACTGACCCAAGAAAAAAAGGGGGGGAAAAAGTGTAGTCATCACTAAATATTTCCAAGGAAGAGAGCCAAAAAAACCCCCAAAAAATTCAAAATAAAGTTAAAACATTATTTACTCATGTATGCTTCAAGAGAAGAACGACCCGTGAGAATTTGATGACTATGAGATAGTGGGAGCTGGAGGGGAGATTAAGCAGTTGAACCAGCGTTATGTCAGTAACTGAAAATCTGTAAAATTCATGGAATCATACACTCATTTAGGTTGGAAAAGACCTTTAGAATCATCGAGTCCAACCGTGACTAAATAGGCTGAACCTTCTGCTAAGGGCATGCAACACACTCTACACCTTTATGTCCAAACACAGTTTAACATACTTCAGCTTGAGCTGACAAATAAACTGCCCATGAACTTCAGTGGAAGTAGAGAACTGAAATTCCATCTTCAATGTTTTCTGAAATCTACATTAAGATGGACTGCAGCATCAATGCTGAAATAGCAATGACGTCATTTAAAATCAAAATACATAAATTTAAGCATGCGTTACCGGCCTTTTAGAATGGCTTGCAGTACGGAAGAATTTTCTAATAGAAACTTTAAGACAAAAAGAAGTATTTTTTCATAAAAATATTAGCTACTTTCACTGCCACAGCAGGCTCTCGGCAAACAAGTAAATTTGATCCTATACATATAAAGAGGATCAAAATATACCACGTAACCAAATCCAAGAATGACAGCAATAACATTGTATATTAGATTCAATAGTGTGGCTCAAGGAAATCCCCAAACCACTAAATCCCAGAAGAAAACATCTGCAAACCTACCTTTTTCCAGACAATCACACTCAGGAATCCTGACTAGACCTTACTGTGGTGCAGTATATGCCTTCTGTGCCAGACAGGCTTCGTGTAAGCTAAGTTCTAAGCTAAGTACGTATCTTTCTAAAGCTGTTGCAACTATGACCTAGTGTTTTCCACCACGCAGTTTACTGGAATTGTTACCTCTTATAAGTTTCCCCAGAGGAAAAAAACACGTAATTGCTAATGCTGATACGGTTTAAATGTTATCTTACCACTGACTCCATGTCTTTCAGAGTTATTGGTTTCCCCAGCATCATCTTGTAAAAAGGTCTGATGAAGAAGCCTGAAAGAGAGAGAAGAGTTACCTCCGCTGTTGTGCGTTTTCACCTTACATAAAGATATGACTGCTCAAGGACAACACACCTGAGATTTCCTATAGTGCTGGCAAGAAAGACATTTTCTGAAAGTAACGGGTTGTAACTGCTCAAGTTAAAACAGCAGGCTCATTTTGTATTTAGGCACAGAAAGTCCAACTTTTCAATTACAAGAATTATGCCATTAATTACCACATGCCATTAAACACCATAACATTAATGGTAGAGAGACACAAAAGATGGAGAATGGAGCTCAAGGTACTCTAATCCACCTCAAATTGCCATTCGTCTCTTAAAGGAGATAGTAGAAAAACAGGACAGTGAGCTTCCTCTTCTAATGTGCTGCACTATTGCTAAATAAAATACAGTTGGTTTATGTTTGCTTATTGTGGGGTTTCAAAGTTCGGCTGAAATCATCTTTTCTCGTTAAATCGTTCAGTTATAATTTTACAGATCAAAATATGCTGCGACTGACACCCACACAACTGCTTTGGCTGCAGGTTTGCGTGGAAATGGCTGATAGAAATGTAGTGACTTTCCTTTATGGATAGCGATTATTTAGCAATGCTGATTCAGTAGTTTTAACACAAGTGGAGAAAGGAGCAAAACTTTATATAATAAACTTTATATGTGTTTGTTGAGTAAGACATTATAATTTTTGAATCACCATTCACATCAGGAATGCAATTTCCAACTGTTCCAGTTCCATTACTTTCTCTCAGACTTTGTCTCCAGAAATACTACATTCTAAAGCATACGAATGCTCGAAGTTATTCCCTTTAATAAAAATCCGTTAACAGTAGCATAGCCATACAGTGTAATAACTCACCATCCAGTAGCTTCCCGTGATATACTGCCAGACCAGCAACCCGACCAATAAATGTGAAATACGACAGATGATCTTCGTTACAAAGACCTGAATTAGGATTAATCTGAAGTGTATAGTTGTCCCTTTTTTGGGGAAAGAAAAAAAATATCTAAATAACCAAGCCTTTAAATAACCAGATATTCAGATATGTTAATAAATAACTTGAGCTTAGGGCCATTTCCTGTTCATTTTTGTGAGAGTGTAATAATGCAATTTATCCACGTGTTCCTCAAGAGAAGTATCTGCCGGTTTGCGGGTAGGCTGACCTAATCAAAACTGTCTTGCTACGACCGTAATGATTATTTGCCACAGGTAACCAAAGCTCCTGCTTGTGGGGTAACAGGATTCCACCTGTGGCAAGTGCCAACTTCTTCAAAGGATAAAAGCCTGGCATCATTGAAAACAGCAACATTTTGCCATCAGCTTGAGTGGCGTGAAAATTTCAGCTAAGCTATCTCTTCTGCCGGGCTTAATTATTCACTCTTTCTAGCCAAATTTCATGGCTTAAAATATTAGGATTCTCTTTTGCAGTAGGTGCTTTTAGTTCTTGAAATACCTGACGGTACTGAAGAGGAATTAAGTATAGGCCCATGGCCCAACTGTCCTAGGATAAAGAACATCTTACCAACATCTTAAACTGCACATACTGGAGAACATCTCTGAAATACACTTAACCCCCAGAATATTGGGAAAAAGCTGTCAAAGGACTAACACCTTTTTTAAGTGGGTAACAAAGCATTAAGACTGGTGTGAAAGCGTGCGTCACAATAAGACATTAGTGTAAAAGCAGTATTTTTAATTTGCAGTATATTCTTAATCTGTGAAGAAATATATGGGGGTTTTAAGTAATTTTTTTTCTTATTTCTTAAATTAACTAGTTAGATTTCTGAACCTAAAATGAAATAAAATTATGTTTAAAATATCTACGGTGACTTATATCCCATAAGTGGAAATATTTCAAAACAAAAGTTTATCCAGTGAACTCTAATAACACAAGGGCGTCCTGTGCTGCGCAATGTTGTTTCAGTTGTGTTTCCCTTCAACAGCAGAACGTGTGAGACACAAATGCGAGAAAACTCTCCTCTATCCAGTCTTTGCTCATCACCTTTACGATCTATTCCACACTTATTAGAGAAAGGAGTGAGCTTGATATTGTCATGAGGCCATTAGAGCTACTGCTTGCAATTAAGAAATCCATCCTCACTGGAGCTAAGTACACAATGAGGAATTACGTACAGCTTATTAAAACAAATGCACTTTAAGCAAGAGACTTGTTCTCTCATTTACACTAATGGATTGCTCAAAGATTTCAAAGTTGGACAAAACCAAATTTAAATTTATGTAAGGCCACTACTGTGCAACTACTGAAATGTAAATGAGAAGCTGGTTTATGAGCTAATTATAAAGGAGTACTATAATTCCGGATGGCAGATGTTTTACAATGTAATGGGAGGGCAGGAAAAGTCTTTTGTCTGACATCTCTTCTTTCACTATTGCTAGCCTCAAAAATCACACTTTTGCTCCAAACAAGGCAACACTGAATATTATCTTAATAATGAAAATGTTTGATGAGATTTCAACAACAATTTGAAAGGTTCTCTGAAAAGCAAGTAAGATATGATAGCACAGAACAGAGATTTGCCTGAAGAGTGCATACGGATGCACCATGAAGGATAATCTAACTACTTTCCAGTGTAACTCTGCCTCTTATGCAAAATCTAATGTATATCCCTTATGAATGGAAATATTTTAATGGACACTTACGTTGCTGAATATTCAAAGAGACCATAATAAGGGTTAAACATCTCCTTGGACAAGAGAAAAAACCATTCTCTGGCCACACCTCCATAGTCAAGTCCTTTTTCTGACTCAAATTCGATCCAGAGCCTGGCTTTTAGTACGTCGGGTCTCTTCACAGACATAATTCTTCTGTAGGACTCCTCAAAAATATTATTTCTGTGTAGCTTCATCTCAAATCTGTTCGGTATATCAGCCTATGCGAAAGGAGATTATATTATACTTGTTAGTATCAGTAAATAAGTTTTCAAGCAAATTACGGACCAGTGGTAACAACTAAATGACAGATTAGACATCCGATGTATAGAGTTTTCCCTCATTTTTGTTTTCTAGTGCTCTCTAAGTCCACAGGCTGATAGCATATAGTGACTGATTCCAACACAAAGCGGCACGTTTCTACTCACTGGTTTCTTTAACTTCTTCCGGAAATAGTCATATTTCTGTTTGAACTCCCTGGAATACGGAACTGCCTATCAGAGAGAGAATCATAAATAGAGATTATTCCAGCTATTCAGCACTTTGATATTCCAACATTATTTAAACAACAAAGAAATTTAAAGACATGCTATCTACATATGTATGCCATAGGCTCATCTAATAAAACGCACCACGCATGAAGTACAGCAGCCAAAACTTTCCCATTTCTCAGTGTGAATTTGAGTGAAAAGGTATGAAAACTTTTGACCCAGTTGTTCTGTTTATCAACTGCTTATCCTCATTTTTTTCTTCTTTGGGGACAGAAAAGAGCAAAACCAATTTTTAACACAGAGAAAAACATTTGAAATGTATTGCTGCCCTCCAAGTGTCTCACTAGGAAATAGCGAGCACACCCTAAGGTACTGCATTTCAAAATGCCCAGTGTTACCACAGAATATGGATTTGCACAGCCGAAAGCGTTAAGCATTGTTAGGTGCTACTCAGAAGACACAGAATTCAAAGAATTTTGAACATGAACCTGAGAACAAGTTAAGGGGCTCCAGTAAAGCTGTGACATTAACAACAAACTGTTTGCCCTCCAAGAAGCGCAGGGGACAATGCTTATCTACACAGCAGAGTTACCTAGGGAGGGGAATGTCCACGGCTAGAAATTATCTTTTCAGCCCAATGTGAATGATTCTAATTCTCAATAGTTATCAAACTATATCAAAACTATTTTGTAAACTACTTATAATGAAAATATACACTTTCATAATGTCTTTAATCCAGAATCTGAAAGCATTTCATGAACAAATTAACATTCTTTTGAACCAAGTACAAGTCACTGCATAATATTTATCTGAAACTCACTCAATGCAGCTGCCTGTGAGTTAGATCATATTTTCAAGTAACAGCAGCATAACAGAACAATTTTAGAAGTTTAAAAAAAAAAAAAAAAAAAGGCACAATGAAGGTTGGAAGAATAACATTAATTGGTTTCTGGCATACATAAACACTCCCTAACAAATGCCACACGTCTCTGAAACATGCACAAACGTCCAGAAAGGCCAAGCCTTTTTGGGCACCACGCAGCCAGACGCTGAAGTGCGTCAGCCAGGCAAGAGCCATCCATAGTCCTGACCGCCAGTCCTATGACTGCAACCCACAGCATTCAGCCTTCAGCTGAAATGGCCGTAAAACCAAGTTGTGAATTAAATGTATGAACGGGAATAGGCCGGAGAAGTGATACTGTGACAGGTACAGGTCTGGCTCTACCAAATAACTGCTAGGTATTAAAGTAAGATTCCTTAATTCTCTGTGGGTTTTTTGACAATTAATTTCTTGAGAATTACGAATCCTTAATTCTCTAGTTTTTCACACCATATACAACATCAATTGAATCAGGGTTTGGAAAGAGCCTTGAAAAAAATAAGAAAAAAAAAAAAAGGCTTCCTGGCCTCGATCATAACATTTTCCAACTAAATCCTTACTTTCCTTTGCTCTACTATTCCTTCAAGATGAAAGAGTAGACCTAGTAAAACTAGCTAAATAAATGAAGTGTGATTTTTTGGGAGCAAAGGACTGATTTTGAATTCCACAGGACTGCAAAAGTTACATTCTCTGTTCCCTGAAGGCTGAATCACAAATTGCAAAGCTCTGGTTCAAGTTCAGTTTCTGGTCAAGGACTGGAATTTTGGGGAGGGAAGGTATGGGCTGGTCTTGGAAGTAGATTCATGACTGGATGTAGGCGAGAGTGGGAGGTAGAAATATTTCTGTATGAGTTTTCTCTTGTGGACAATGAGACATGAAAAATGAACAAAAAATTGAACTAAATCATTTTACTCTGATGATAATATGACTTTACTACAGCTATAAAATAATCTTTCAACATGTTTCCATTGTTTAAATGCAATGTGAAATGCAATTTAAGGAGTTCTTTGTTTCTGTCATGGCACCAAGAATACTATTAAAAATGTTAAGATGAATCCTTAATGCTTATATGGCTGTAAAATGGATTTGATCTTGCTTTCTCTTTAAAAAAACAACAAATAACTGTTATTTACTTAATGGGATCATGATTGACCCTTATCATCATTAAACAAAATTTCCCAGATAGTCTTTCTCATTTATGCTTAACATTTCTGGGAAAATAAACGTTAAGAATTTGTACAGCATACTGTATAATAGTATCTCAAGCACTAAGTGCATGATAAATGGGTAAATCACTCCAAAAGCAATTATCTTCCAACAAGTGATTATTATAATCTTATTAATAAACAAGAGCAGTTGGAATTACACCATGCAGTAGATATCTGCTGTGTTCTGAGACCCTTAAAAATCCTGAGGATTTGCCCAAAATAAAAAGGCATTCTTGGCACCTGGAAACATCTTAGGGTTGCAAGTATGATCATTCAGAATACCATAAAACGGCATAAACTAGCATTAAAAGATCAAAGAATCACTCTATATATTTGATGTTTTGAAAATTTGATATTAAAGTAAAAGCATGTATTTATTCTTTCTAAGGCTGATATTCTTGAAATCTCTTAGTTTACCTGCAGGAAGTTTTATGTCCCTTAAAACTGATAGACCCAGTTTTTGTCTTTTTTACACTCTGAATCCATATAGTCACAACTCTCCCACATCGAGTGGAAACAGCTTTTTCTTATTGAGAAATCCAAAAACGAACAGCACAGTGTCTCAGCTCAGTAAAATTCCATTGTCAGTAATGACCCCGGTAATGGGTAAATTCTGTGATGTACTGTCGTATCGACTGATGAAAAACGTTTCCTAGACACTCCGAGGCAGAAACCAACTTCACACGCTCATGGCTACAAGGCAGGAATCATACCATACCACTGGAAAAATTTGCTAGCTAGGTGGCTACTGCTAGGAAAGCCTCCGAAGCCCATCAAATTCAAACCACCTGCCTGACCTGGGAAGTGTGTGCACAGCACTGTAGTTCCACATGTGCCAGAGACTCCCCATCAGCCCACTACTGCCCTGGAGCACTGGCAGCAGGCTGGAAGAGCCCCCAGTGCACTCCAGCCGGTGCGGAACAAAACAAAATAGGGTCCACAGAGTGGTACCACCATTTGAATGCCGGGGACGAAGCATCAGTTTTGGGGCACAATGGCAGCTCCCCCTGCCCTTGCAGACTCACAGAAGCCGGCACCTGAGCCTCCCATGTCTGTCAGGAAAAAGCAAGGCAAAGGTCCTGCTTCTGGGTCTGTTCATGAGGTAGACTCTGACCTTATCTGGAGCACAGGCATGACTTGCTGCTCGGTAATGCCCCCTGCCTATACCAAATGTACGCACGTCACAGCATTTCATGGAAGTAAACATAGCAGTACTTACTGGACCAGTAATCGCCGGGTTCTGCAGTCTGGGGTCTTCCCATTGGGTAATTTTATTATCTGTAAATAACAAAACAAATTATATCATCACTTCTCTGTTACTACACTGTGAATTTATGTTGTTTTTTTCTCCCTACACCTGTTTTCCCTATCATTTCCACAACTTAGTATTTCAGGGTTAGAAAAGGCTGCATTCACCCATCTAAATCAAAACCCCATCACACTGTTTAGTTGAAAACACTCATTCAAAAATGCAAAATTACAACAGAATCCAGTGTATTTACACTGCTTTTATTTCAACGTCTGTAGCAGTAAACATGTTCTATTTGAACATGGTCTTGGATTCAACTCACATTAGAAATACACAGACTTCACGCCTGAAAGGTAAAGGAACCCCAAAACTTTGTCAAATGACAGACAAGTTTACTTGTTTGAAATTTTGCATAAAGATAGCCAAAATGTAATGCTTTTAAAAGACAGACTATATTTAAATTTGGATGGAATAACACCTCTTTAAAAAAAAGTCCTAGACACTGATTTAATGAAAAGGTTATAGGACCATTAAGGGAGGCAAAATTATACAGTTACGGTATAAGAGATCATTCAGTTTTGACCAAAGGAGATTTTGCCAGTAACGCAACAGAATCCAGTTCCTTTCATCTACAGTTTTAAGAGCACCAGGAGGGTGATATGGTAAGGTTATACAGGACCACGAAGAAACTCCCTGCCTCCAGACAACTGCTCCTCACAAGATTCTGAACACAACAGAATCACAACAAAATGATGATGTTGCAACAATAAGACAATGCTCCAAAAACCAAACTAGATGCCACCTGCATTGGCAAGGTTTAAGTTGTCCATTTCCTGCACTGAAAGGGTAACAATAAACATCGGTTTGTTACATGCGCTGCTTTATGAACTGTATATTAAGAAGGTAGTCCAGATTTTAAGTTTTGTAATAGCTAGGTTTGGGAATAAACACACTAAGTTTCAAGAAAATTCTTTTTACGGCTACTCTAGGTAAAAGCAAAGAACCAAACCCACTTAAATTAAACCACAAGTATTTTCCATGTTTCTACAGCTGGAAAAGACCCCTAAGTTTTGAGCATCCCAAGCTAGTTTTAAAACAGACCGGGATTTGAAAGGTGACATTCATTAAATGTTAACTGAAGAAAATGAAAAAAGATCCCAAGCACATTTCAAGAAATTTGATCAATTAATTTAATATTAAACCATTATTTTATTTCCCTTTACACATTAAGTCTCTTTAGTGCTTATCGAAATTATGGAGGAAGGCTGTTAAGACTGACAAGCTCCAGAAACCACAGGAGACCCACAGAGCAGAGCTGCCACAAGGGCGTGACGCCCGATCCGGCCCTTTCCATGGTGCTTCAACCTGGTCAGTCACATTTCCTTCTATAAGGTTTACTGGGTTTATATCAATTCATTTCTTATACCTACTTGACCTCGAGAGCCACAAATCATGGTGGTAATTTTCTATGAAATCAAAGATAATAGAACTGGAAATGACTCCAAGTTTGTCAATTCTTTTGTATTGCCCTACGTACTTAAGAGAATACAATGCTACTGACAAATTGTTGCCTAAATTTTTTTCAGAGTATTACAGTGACAGGGACTTCATACTATAAATGCTATTCCAGGGCTTAAATGCCCAACAATTAGAAGGGTCTAATGTGAACCACTCTACCCGAATCATAGCTCAAGGGTCTCTGTCTTATCCAAAGTGGATGTGGATAACAGCACATTTTTGAAAAGCTACCACCTCTCCTGAGTCTTCACACAAACACAATACTCTGTCCTTCCTCGTAAATCGGGCTCTAGGGCCTTTGAGGATTCCCTCATCTCCCCTGCTTCCTCTGGTCCCTTGCCCAGTGGTGCACTGTTTTCCTGAGGTTTGGGATGCCATGCTAGATACAGTAGTATCATAGCCAACATTACCAGTGCTGACGAGAGCAGAAGGATTACTTCAGGTCTTAAATAAGAGACTCCTGTTGATACATCACAGGATGAGTTAACTCATGTCCAGTTGATGATATTTTTCAGGCCCTTTTCAAGCAAAATTCTGCTAATTATTCCCATTTTTAGTAATACTTTGCAATTCTTATTAAACAGCATCTTACCTTACACTACAGTGGCAATTTGCCAGATTCATTCTGATTCCCCATCCTGTTCCAGTGAGCACCTCTCACCTCTCCTACACTGTGGTTTTCTGCTCAACTAATGAGTATGTTCTGCTTAATTTGTTGTTCAAATCCCTAATGAATATATTGAAAAATGGTGGATGCAAGACAGACTTTGATAACTGTTCTGTGTATGACTGGAAAACCTTTATGTTTTCCTTCATGGTACCTTCCAACAGGTAAATCGTAGTTTTCTATAAGGCTCCTAGGAAATGTACAAGTATATGCATGCTACAATGAATACAGAATGCTATTTTATTCATGGAGGGCAAATAATGACTTAGGTAGCTAAGGACCAATCATGGAGAACTGGAGACTGTATTTTTTGTTAAAAGATTGACCGCTGCAGAAATTAGAACTGATTACAGTTAAAATCTAAGAATATTCTTTATTCAGGCTACTATGTTACAAGTAATACCTGAATTATTTTAACAGTACTTTGCTTTACTAGTTTGTATGGCCTGCTTAATAGCAGTTTGTGTTGCTCCACAAGAGGAAGTTTCTGTGCTGGTTGCATTACTTTTTTACACTTTCTCTCAGGGATGAGAAAAACATTTCAAAAATAGGACAACAGTATTGGATGATTATGCAAAAGAATTACAAAATGTACCTGGGGAACCAGGACATTAATAGTAGCTGAATCTGTTAACAATTTCAACTTTTATACTGTATTCTAACAATTAAATCAACTACATTTTTTGCATCCTAACTAATCACTGTAGCAGAGAAGCACTGAAATGATGGCCAGTTTACATGGTGATGGACACTGAGACTTGCATATTTAGGGTGAGCACGGCTGATCGCACCCATGACTGATTTCAGTGTATGCTCTCAAGTTAGCCACGAAACAAGCAGGAGTGAGCAGGCTCAGTCACAAACCTATCGTTGTGGTCAAATGTCATCGCACTTCCTTATCAATCCTGCGAAAGCAAATGCTCAAGCCACGTCCCTGAGCACTGAAAGCTGTTTGTAGTCGTTCCCTAAATACTGAGCACAACATGCTCGCAATGGAGCTGCAGCGTGTCCGCTGTAGTACTGGCTAGCACCACCTCTGCTCCTAGAGTCTGCTTGTAATTGTAGTGGTGTGGCACCAGGCTGAGACTGAGAGGATATTTGCTGGAAACAAGTAGCATTATAAAAAAACCCCTCTAAACTCTTGTAAAAACTGCTATATAAAAAGCTAAAACTCCCTCAGATCAAAAGAGGGACTAGAGAGAGATTTCAGATGCAAATACACTTAGTTTCGTAACAATTGTAAATTCTTTGGGGAATTTTAATTAATTTACAACTTTACCATTCCATTTCCAAGACTAACACAAGCTTCAGTAGTCTTAGGAGACTGAAAAATTAAAACTTTTTAAAGGATGTTGGGAGGCTCAACAATTATAGAGATATTTCAAGTGAGACAGTTTTATTCTGTGGCTCTTCAGTGGCAGCAGTTTAAAATAATTTGCCATATTTAAGTTTCCAGATATCTGTTGGGAAAAACAATTACAGAAGGTACAAAGAATAATAATTCTCTACTGATGTTTGAAAGAGGTTAATCTTGTGCTTGACAACTGTATTATTTCTAATTTTTATTTGAAACTATTTATACAATTTCAAAATTCGTATTACTTTAGAAAGAGTCTTTTACTAATGATTTAATAATGTCATATATACAACTACAGATAAGCATCAGAGTGAGCGTTACTGATACTGAAGGAAAAAAGGTAATACTATCAAATAAGTGTAATAGTTTCACATTTTAATTCTTAAGTTTTGCATGGCATATGTACCCTCTTCTAATGGTTTTGTGAGTTACCTATTTCTGTGAAGATTATGGCATCAGTAGAAATAATCTCTCACTAAAAAGTCCAGCTGAAGTCTTAAAAAAAGGAAGAGGAGGAGGAGGAAACCCCCCCTTTCTGGGCTGCTTTCTTTTCAAACAACAACAAAAACTCACACAGTAGTTCTGAGATGCTGTAGTAAGACAAGTCTACAATGAAACATCACTTACACTAGAACTTCACTAACAGAACTGAATAATATTAATGGGCTGGGTGCAGTTTAACATGCTATAAATAGGAAATAAGATCAGAATCAGCACTGCCACAAGATCTTCTTAAAGGAGAGGAAAGAGTACCGTTATCAGTGAGAATTTCTCCACTGCCTATATGTGGAGTTGTGGCTGTATGGTCTTTTCTCATCTTATTTTCCATTCCTAGTGTATATTTTAATTTATTAAGTGCAAATAAGCCATGGGATCATCAACAACAACAACAACGAATCCAAAATATCAACAAGAACAAAAGAAACCACAAAGAAGAAATGTTAATGCTTCACAAGTCAGAGAGGGACAAAGCTTGATGAGCCAATTAAAAGCAAGCTTTCAGTGAATATACAGTACCGTATGAGGGCACTAAGTCTCTGGTATCAATGTCTCCACATATCAACACCTGGCTTCCTAAATGAAGAGTAAAATTATAAAGCTTTCACTTCAATACTTATTACCTCCCTTTGTCTATTTGCTGTAGTACCTGAGTGCTTACTTACTATGGTCTATATAAAATGTTCTTCCATCCAAATGTATTCTTTCCTCCCAACCAGGCTGGAATTGGGAAATAAAAAAAAAAAAGAGAAAATAAGTGAAACACTACCAATCTCACAAAGGATGAAGCAATACGTTATGCACATCTATTTAAATTGTCTGATAGATGCTTGGGAGGTAGAAAACACAAAATGATCACAGATGCATTATGTCAAGGCCAAAAACCTGGGAAGATTCAAAGAACTGGCTATTTACACAGGTAAGCGTATCCAATACAGTAAATATGTTTTTAAAGCTTGGAAGTGGAAAATTCCTGTGTCAGAGTTTAAATCCATTTCCTACTACGAGGAAATGATCACAAAGAACAGATTGTCCATCATTGGTTAGGTTTGAGAGTTTCTGCTTCTACTTCTGAAACACATGTGGGTTATTTACAATAAAAATATAAGCCAGGATCCCATTACAGTAGGACAAGAATGTCTAACCAAGTCCTTAATTCCTCCCTTTTTACCCATTCCCTTTTCTCATCTTCCAAATGACTGTAGTACAGAAAGGAGGATGCATGGCACACTGTCAGTATACACAATGCTGCCCAGTCTAGCACCCATTCCACCTGTATGCCCTACCTCAGCTTCAGACTGCTTTAAAACAGAGATGAGAAATTATTTCATTTCAATCTTTTTTGAGAATCCCAGACTAGTTTGGGATCCTCCTCTAAAAAAAGGTGGTAAAAGAGGTTACCGCCCCTCACCAAAGGTAGCATTTGTCACCACTCTTACCCAAAAGCAGCACTCACTTTGTTCTGCTGGCAGAGCAATTCATCTAAGTAAACTGTAACCCAACTCAGTGAAAATGAGTAGGATTAAAGACTGGTTATTCAAACTGTTTAAAACTAAAATAATTTAACCTGCCATGTCCTGTAGGGTGGGACAGAAACCTCTTCTGGTGGCACAGCTGTTTGCAGACAGCTTGTCCATAACATGCTGGAGCAATGAGAATGCTGATGACAATTAGTGGCGTGTTGTCACTATGGTTTCCAGCGTTGCAAGTACTATTTCAATGGCATTTTCACAAAAGTATGCTTAGTATGTATGGCACAATGAGCTGAATTAACACTACATCATAAAAATGAGACCTTAGAAAAAGTGTTTGCTTTCATAGACTAGTCTCTGCCATTAAGGATGCAGGTTTTTTAAAAACAAAGCAAATATTTGACATGACTGTAAATCACTATTATACTTTGGTTACAAGTGTGACAAAACTTCTGATGTTAAAATGATCTTTTTTTCCTGCAGAATATGGAAGTTTCATTGAAAAACTCAAAATGTATTTAGATTTCTGAATGTCAGTATAGGCTGGTACATTAATAGAGCTCATTTTGAATCATCTGCTCCAGCAACAGGTCATTATCTAAAAGCACACAGCCAGAGAAAAAAAACAAGGTACGTTTCTTCAAAGTTCAAAGCTTCAGATAAGCAAAGAAACATGCAGTCATTTCAGAACTACTATGAGCTGGCTTCAAAGAGCCTGACTGATTCACAGATCACAATAAAGCTTTTTGGTGCTATATATAAACATGACTGTAATATCTCCAGAAAAGTGATGACAGCAACATATGTGTCCACATACAATATATGACTGCAATAATAGATCAGATCATGTAAGATAACAGGTATATATTGAAATGCATACACATTATCACTTACAGGAAGAGGGCCCAAATCATTAGGGTTCAAAGATGCTTTTGATCTCAAATGCACTGGAAATTTCAGTCGTGGATCCTCCTGTAACAGAAATAGAGAACTGTAAATCCAACAGATCAAGTTAGATCTACATACTAAGTCAAACACAGAATTATCTGGAAAAGAAATCTTCCTACATTAGTTACTCTTTTATTATTATTTTTTTTTTTTAAATAAAACAGATAAACCAAAACATATAAAGGTGATAGAACAGTTAGTATTTGGATGTGTTGCATACTTCATTAGGATTCATATACTGACATTATTTTTTAAACATTAAGAGTGAGTTAGGGCAATGTAAGACTTTGACTCCATTAAGTGTCTCTCTCCAGAGATATGCTTCAAAAAAATACAGCCCTATTCTTAGGAATGCATGCACTCCCATAAGTGGCATTTAGATACATACGCGCGTTTTTGGCTCTTAAAAACATAAGGAAATAAGCCATCCTATCATAAAAAGTCTTGAAAAGGATGAAAATGAGCTCCTTATGTTTTTATTAATGCACAGGTATTATTACTTCGATGTCCAAACGAGGCAAAAAGGGACAAGTAAAATCAGTCACAGAAGACAAATCTAGACAAAAAATGCGTGAGATTTCCACACATAAATTTACTCACATGCACCTGGGAACACCATTAAGAACCACCATTAAAAATACACCATGTAACTAGTGGTCACTGGGAATGTGAATGATGCCTAACAAATTAAAGTGCAACTTGTATTTCAATGGTGATGTGAAATGTTGGGTCCTCTTTGACGGTTTTTCCTAGTGTAATTTTATTTCTGCAATTTGTTCACCAAAGTTACAGAATTATTGAAAAATGGACCCTCATCACATAAAACAAATACTAAAATGGATTCTGTTAGCTGAAGATGATGAACATACATTATATTACTAAAAAAGCAGTGCTAGTCACAGTGAAGTACAATTATGGACAGCCTCAAACTAAACAACGATCCAAATCTCCATTGGGCTGTATGCCTCTAAACCCCAAATTTAGGGAATTTAAAGGACAGTACTAGTATGCAATGATTTGTCAAGTATAAAAAGGTCAAATACAAAACGCAAAACACTATTGCACGGTACAGGACGCACAAATGCACCAAAATCTAAGAGGATATGAACAAATAAGTTTCCTTTCTCTGAGTGCAGCAATGGCAGCACTCGAGTCACGTCACGAAATTCAAGTCTACTGCTACTGTACATGACTGCATGGAGTGACATCAGTGAGATGCCTGCATCAGTTTTATGAAATCCCTCCTTAAACATAAGACAAACGCCACAATAAAACAGGCGGTACATAGGCATGAAAACAAAGACAGGAACATTTAAAAGACTGCAACTAATTTAAAATTCATTATCTAGAATTTTTCTTACCCACGTAGTAGTTTTAGTGTTGTGGTCAATGAAGAAGGGCCTGCCATTGGGTGCTATCCGCATCTCCCAGCCAGGGGGAAGGAAGCTTTGTGCAACTTTGTGTTGTGGTTTAGGAGAGTTGTAAGGTGAGGGCTGTGGAGACTGTGGATTGGAAAGGGTGTCCTTCACCGCTCTGCGCACAGGCGAGTCCTTGATACCCTGAAGAAAATGAAAGTACTAAGATTTGTCAAATGTCCCTCAATACTGTAAAATTAATAAAACTTGGTTTCACAGCAAATAGTTTTTCATTCCAGATGTAATTAATACTAGAATAAAGTGCTGGGACTGATTTCCTAGAACTTACTTAGCTAAATTCTGCTCCTTACAACATACTGAGCTTTTTGCTGTGAAGGACACAGCCCTCTGCAATGATAATGTCCAGAGTATTTTACATTTGATTATATATTTTACTGCAGCTGCCCTGTACAGGTCAGCATTTCTTTTTACAGAGGAAAAAAATAAACGCATTGCTTTGTGCTTCATGGTGCAATATATCTCACTTTACCACAAGAGAGTATCCTAAACGTGAGGCGCTGTTATCCACTTTTCAAAGCATTTCTCAACTATAACTTCAGAGAAAACAGTAAACTATCAACTTAAAACAAGCTGCTAAAATAAACGGAGGTTTGCAATCAGATTTTGGACTTTTTTTTTTTTTTTTAATTAAATATAAATGATCACAGCAGCAAAACTGCTTCACTGATCACTGCCTATGGGTTAAATCCAGAAGTTACATGATGTGGGTTTGCTTTTTTTTTAAAAAATTTCACTGGGAACTGCACATTTAGAGGCCTAAACAGCTTGAAAAATGTGATCCAGATTTACTCACCTTTGAACACACAGGCTATCACAATCAGAAAACAAGACTTATGTACCATGTTTCAATCTTGTTTGCATTTGGGCTTTTCAGTTACTTTCCAAAAACACGCTCTCATTAGCTGACATGTGGTAACAGTTTGTTTGCTAAATATTAAGATTCAGTAAATCTACGCATGCTTATTTTGGCAACTTAGCCTACTTTTAATTACTATTTTTTGAGTATTAAATTAGAAAATGAGGCACCACCACGGATATTTACAAAATTATTCTAGTCTTATTTGTGCCTTGTTTTGAGCTGCATTTGGATGGAAAATGCAGTTAGATTACAGTGTTCAAAAGCAGCATTTAAAGTATCTTGCATTAAACGAAAGCTTCCGTATGTCTTGTACACACAGAAGTTGAACATTTTACAATAAAATAACTAAACAAAAGAAGTAACTTCTAAAAAGTTGAACTCTTTTTTTTTTTTTTTCCCCCTCGTGGTTGTATCCTTTTAAGATTTTATTATTAGTAAGTCTATGCCTTACTTTTAAAAAAAAATATTTCGGAGGTGGGTATAAGGCAGCAAGTTTGTGCTCTTCAGCACCTTTGTGGTTTCTGAGCATTGAATAAACTGATTAGTTGAATATTCTGAAGTGAAGAGAATACTGATTTTGTAGCTATGGAATATGGATTGCCCTTAAAGGCTAGCTTGAGTTTCAGACGCTTAGTCTGAACTGCTTAAACTGTCAACAGCAAGAGGAGCGCCCTTAATGTTTTAGTTTCAGATATTCAGAATATTTTAATTTTATTTATTTAAATTACAACAAATGGGGTTTTCAAAATTAACAATGGCAACGGTAGCTTTAAGTAGTTCATTGTGAAAGAGTTTATCTGAATTACATCTAAGTAGAAATAATTTATTTTAAATATGAACTCTAATCACCTCACTACAATCTGTCCAATAATCCTACCTCTGTTTAACAACTTGCTCAATAGTTTGAGTACCTTTCAGTACATGGAACCAAGAAGAACGATGCATAAAATGAACTAAATGTTACGATTTTTACTGGATTGTTGGCAAACTTTTGCAGGGGTAAAGGAGACCCGAGTAGGAAAGAGACAGTGAGAGAGGACAAAGAAGGTGCCATACTTTCAGTTTGAAGAAGAAATCTTTAAGAACTTACTCTCCTCAACACAGCCACGTTTAACTGATTCAAGAGTTTTAATCCCACTTTCAGAAGTAAAACACACGTTGTCTTTGGTTGCGTAAGAAGCCACTTAAGTTATTCTTCAGACATGTTGCAGTGAACATCATTCAACAGTACTCTGAATTACTTCTAAAGATACTTAAATTAAATACCCTTTTGAAAGACGAGGACTATAAAACCCAATCAGTATCTTAATTGAAAGATTTTCCAAACTCAATTGCATGTATTTTCAAAGTTGTCAGCATCCAATAAATGTTTCAACTGAAAAAAAGTCTGACTTTATAACTCATAGCACTTGAAGGGAGTCACAACAATGTATGTTTCAGACACACCCACAGATTACATTTTAGCTGACCAAACCAAATAATCAGGGATAAAATACATCATTCAATGACCATAAAAGTTAAGTAATGCTGTTGCACTATATAAAGATCCAGATGGAAAACTGCTAGAGAAAACAGCAATATCTTAGGGCAAAATCAGTAACAGGAAAAAGCGGCAGGTTGCCCAGGGAGGTTGTGGATGCCCCATCCCTGGAAGTGTTTAAGACCAGGTTGGATGAGGCTTTGGGCAACGTGGTCTAGTGGAGGGTGTCCCTGCCTGCAAGCAGGGGGGTTGGAACTAGATGAGATCTCTGAGGTCCCTTCCAACCCAAACCATTCTATGATTGCTAAAAAGGAAATAAAACGTTATAAGGACAACAAGGAATCGGAAGTCAGACATAAGTGACCTTTCTTGGTAACAGCGTTTCTCACCTCTAGTGGAGCAGATAAAGTTACTGTGGGTGAACTGAGGCTACGAGGCCGTCTTATCTGGGGTTCGCTTAAATGGTTGCTGCTGTTTGCTGTTGACCCAACCATGCCATCTTCTGCAAGCTATTTCAGAAGGAAAACCAAGTCAGCAAACTGTCAGAACCACAACTCATCCAGAGTCAGGACACTTAAAACCCAATGTAATTGTTTATTATTGTTATTATTATGAGGAAATATTAACCATACTTTCTTAAAGATCAAGTATTTAATTTAATTCCATTAGAATGGCAAACAATGTATGGTACTATCAATAGATCAACACAACTTTCAAATTTAATCCTAAGAATGCATTTGCCTCCTTTTATTAGTTCATATGTACCTCTCTGTAAATTCCTTCCATTGTAGTAATCAACTTAATCTGTACCTTAATATTGTTAAAAAGTAGCAAAAAAACCCCCAATCATTGCAATTTTTTATGATTATCCTGAGTTGTCATGACAATGCTTAGGATTATTTTTTTAAAATTTCAGAGTTCTGAGGAATTGCTTCAAATTATACGCAATACATGCTAAGTGTTTGCTCTCTAAGCATTATAAGAGATCTTCATACCTGCATAATGGGCCGTGTCCATGTTGTGGTTCGATTGTTATGATTGACATAGTAAGTGCGGCCCTTTGCATCCTTTCTTTCTTCCCAGCCTGAAGGTAAGCCTGGTGTAGTATGTACATAGGCCACGGAAGGCTGTTCAAGCAAGAAAGTACTGTGTTGTTATTTTATAATAGCTAAGAAAAAATAATTCATAATTCTGTTATTTAAAAAAAAAAAAAAAGGAACTTGTTAATTTACAACATTCTTAAATGCAACAAACGTACAGGAAAAATATGGTTTCTGATTTCATTTAATAAAAGCTCTTCACGTACGTGTGAGTCAAATAATTTTCTTTCACAATAGATCTTTTGGTTCACTTTTGCACAGATTCAGGTATCTTGTTCAGAAAACAGCCAAGCTTATACGCCCTCAAACTTTTTAATTTGTAGATTACACATAATGACAAAAAGAAACTTTGTGTTTTAATGATTTTTCCTTAAAAAAAGTGAATGCTTTTCCCTTTTATTAGTATGGATGTATAAGTAAGAACTGAAGTAACCATGCAGTCAAGATATCTCACGTTCTGTTCTGTTCTTTACCACAGGGTGTCTTGAATGAGTTGCAAGAAACTATTGTAGGTTTAAAAACTGAAGTTTAACCATTTTGTTATAATTACAAATGTTGCATTCAGGGCTAGGTGTCCTGAAGACACAAGATACACCCCAAACCGGAGCCCCAACTTCAGTATGAAAAGATTTTTTTTTACTAAAAGTTCCACAAGAAAGACATTGTTCTAACAAAACCATAAGGATAATGATAACTGTGCCAAATAACAGTGGTTTAATTGTCATTAAACAAGTTATGTCACTATTCAATACAATAATTATGTCATTGCATGTTGCTGATGTTGTCTTGTGTACCTCCTGTGAGGAAAATATTCAAGGCTTAAACCAACTGGACATTTTTTTCTGGGACATAGAGAGGGGAAAAAAAAATAAATGCATTGTAGCACAAACAGCAAAGCTTCTTGAAGAAAAATAGCCAGAGAGGATTTTTAACACTGAGTCTGTCTGCATCTGCACATGTATTTAAGAAGGGGAGGATGCCCAGGGAGATACAGTTTTTAGACTGTACACTCTACATGAATCTACATGTTTATTATGCTTAGTTACTACTTTCTAGTTTGGGACTCCTCTTAAGAGATCACTTGCTTGTATAACAGATTAAGAACAGGTATCCTGGCTGTCAGTGAACCAAACAAGAAAATCAGAGTACTCAGGAAAGGCTTTTTTCTCAAGTTATTGACGTAAATACAAAGAGCTAGAGAGATACAGGAATTTCTGTCATTCACAGTAGATAGAAGCAAGCTGCTGGACTGTGCAGGACAGTATTTTTGCTCTCTAATGAAGCCCATGTATTAATAACTGCATCAAAGACTTGGCACGTGCAAGGTGCTTTTCAGTATCCATGTCTTGATCTTTGGGTCAATATGCATTTGGTTTAGTTATCAGATTAATTACATTAAAATACACATTCACATATTAATTGTCAGGAGACTATAATGCTGGAGATTGCTTCACTCTTTCAAAACACCTGCCTTGCTAGAAACCTAAAGGTCTTTATTACGTGACAGA